TTGAATGCAATCAATTGGCGTCCAATCATCCCATCGAAGACAGAATAAGGATATCGACGTTTCACTTCCCGGACAATCATTCCTCTGACAAAAGTGTGTCCAAATCAATAGCATTAGCGGTATTTGATGGACACGGAGGCGGCTCTTGCGTTGATATCATCTCTCGCAGACTTTTTCATTATATCGCTCTTTCGTTGAATCCAAGCATAAAATCATACGATAAGAATCAGTTAAACACATTGATTGAAGACTTATATTACTGTCCGAATCCATACCATAACATAACTCATAAATACGAAGACAGAGCCGCAGAATATTTGAAGAAACATCTCTTAGAATCAGAAGAAAAAATTTTAACACAATTTGTTAGAGACTTGAAACCAAATAATGATATATCGAGTGCTTTGGAGAACGCATTCATTAGATGTGACAGTGATTTAAGCGAAGAGATTGAACACAATCTGCTCTCGTCTTCGTCTAACATTTTACTTCATTATTACCTGTCATTAGCGGTGAGCGGCTGTTGTGTTACTCTTATGCTCATCCATGAAGACATTGCATACATCGCATCCACCGGTAATTTTAACCGTTAATTGACTTTTTAATAGATTCACAATAATTTTTAACTCATTCTTTAGGTGACTGTCGAGCGGTTCTTGGATTGTCCGGTAGTTCTAAGACTAAGACAACACTGAAGACAATCGACTTATCAAAGGAGCACAACAGCGACAATATAGCAGAACTGAAACGAGTTCTTTCAGAACATCCAAAGAGTGAACAAAATAATATCATTAGAAATGAGAGACTTTTGGGACAATTAATGCCTTTAAGAGCTTTCGGAGATTTTAGTTTCAAATGGACTATCGATAAACTTAAGAGATTAGGTTTGACTCGTGCTTTCGGTTCGCATATTATACCATCATATTATATGACACCGCCTTATCTCACGTGTAAACCAGAGGTTGAAGTATTGCCACTAAAAGATATCGAAGAATATAAGAAAAAGTTCATTATATTAGCGACGGATGGATTGTGGGAACAGTTCGAGGCGACCAGAAAAGTGGTTAAATGTGTGAATAAATACTTAGAGACAGTGGACAGACAGGAATCCAACGAATCAAACAATGGCATCACATTTGAAGAAAACACATCCATCGGCCAAATCATTGACAAATTGAAAGTTAGAGCCAAACCGGCCGTCACTTCGTTCGATGAGATCACTCGAGGCGACGACTTAAGTGAAGACACCAATAGTGCCACTCATCTGATTAGGACTGCTTTGGGAGAAATCCCATCGAGTGATCACAATTTAGATCAATATCAACAACAACTTCAACGACACACACGACTCGTCACTTATCTAACTCTCCCTCAATCGGTTGTCCGTAACTTTAGAGACGATATATCATTGATTGTAATGGATTTGAAATGATTTTATTTCAATATCAAAACTAGTCTTTTTTCGATTATTTATTTAATTGTAATTTTAAACGTTTTAAAAATGTTAAGAATTTATATTTACCAATCATTACAATAAGTAAAAACTAAAAAATAAATAATAAAAATATAAATAATAACAAATATAATTCAAATAAAGTACTTTTATTCCCGTTTTTCGTGGGTCTCATCGTCTGAAACATAAAAGTTAAACAATGGTTTAAAAGTTGAAATAAGTTGAGTGCATCCAAACTAACCGTTATCTTCATTTTCATCGATGTCCTCATCTTTGGCGTCGAGAATATCGGAGAAACAAGTGGTGTATATAATGATAGAGAGAAAACCGGCCGGAATTCCAAACAAAAGGATTGTTAAGACAGGGTTTCCGTAATACATGCTAATGAATGATGTGATGGTGTCGTAACCCATCCGATGGATTCGGTTCCAGAATCGGTCGCCACCGTATGCCTACAGATCATCAATTTAATCGTTCAATTAGTAAATGAATACAATTTACACAAACTTGCCGTCAGTTTATGGGGTCTTTGAGTCAATTCGTCTAAGAAGAAGACGATATTTTGAGAGTTAAGTTCGCCTTCTATTAAATAATGCTGAAGTGTTGTTGAATTAATGACTATAAGGTTAGGCAATGGACTGATTGATCGGATTGCTATGGAGTTAATTGTTGTGATTTCTGATGTCCAGCCAAAGACCAGTTGATTCTGATTGGGATAAGTGTGTGCTATTGATTCCAATTCATTATAAAAAGCCTGATGTTGTGGATTCAGTTTATCCATCGATTTAAATTCATCGACTAAAGCGATCACCAAATTCTTGCCTTCAAATTAGAAAACCATTTAAAAAATTCATAAATACATGAAAATATGATTGAAAAATCGCTCACGAGTTTGAAGAAGTAAATGGAAGTTCCCGTTTGTAATCTTAACAAATTGTGGGAATCGTTGCAATTTAATCCAATCTTCTAATTCCGATTCATTTTCATCTGAAATGCAGTTTAAGAATAATTAAATCAACACTTCTTCGTATTATTCATTGAATACCATATATTTTGTGGTAATTATTCGCTTTTATGGCATAAATTCCATCTGAAAATTGCTGGCAAGCGTTGGGCGAGTGATAAAACCAATCAATGCTTTGATGACTTTCGGCCGCTTTCGAGAAGTTTTCGTTCAAATTTTGGCCGAAATGAGCGAAAAACACGTCATGTTTTTGTCTTAAGGGATCGATTTGAGAGCAGTCGACGATATGCCGAACCGGCGGACCATTGACTCGGAGGGCGAAATCGATTATCTCATTCCTGGATCTCTCGCCGCGGAATTCAATGCGTTTGTCTCTTCGGATGAACAAAATGGTGGGAAAGCCTCTGATGGCGAAGTGTGTGGAGACAGTGGTGTGTTTAGTGCAGTCGACACGACCGACATAGATGTCCTGGTCGTGGTTGTGGATGTGTTGGGCCACTTGTGTCCAGATGGGTGCGAGTAGGTGGCAGTGATGACACCACGGGGCGTAAAACAACACCAGAAACGATCGCCACTCCGACTCTTTGGCCAACGCTTCCACAAACTTCTCGTTGAACTCGAGAACCCGATTGCCATCACTTGTGACCACTTTGGCCAACACAAGACACCACCAAAAGCCGATCAGTGACTCCACTTTCATTGTGTTGTGTTGTCTTCACTCTTTTAATGCATTAATTGTTGTATTTTTCTAATTATTTTGTCATTTCAATGAAAATTCAATCATTTTTCACATCAAAACAGAGTTTGTTTTCATTACAAATAAAAGCATATAAAAGGCGGAGACTTGACGTCACTGTAGTATAGCTTGAAATGCAAAATGAGAATCAATGATCATTGATGGTCCATATGGTCCATGGTATATGTCCATGCACATTTATTGCCATTTTACACAACCACCACTTAATTGCGCAAAACTCCCAAAATATGTTTATTACATTGATTTTGCAATCAATTGGGATTTAAACACAGTTAGTGGATGATTGTGTGCTCCTATGTGTACCTCATATACCGGCAAATACTACAGTAGACTACTGTCAGTAGTATTGAATGGGATTCTTAAAACTTGAAACAACCATTGGTTGCACTTTTCTATCATCATATTTAGTCCCAATTGAATTATTGCCGTATTTTACCTTATGCTGTACAGTATTAAGTGTCGAATCGTCCTTCATGATTTAATTATATTCTTACGTTTAGTAATATATTTGAGTGCTATAATTATTGTGTAGTAAATAACGTAAAGTTTGCACAAATTCTTACATTAAATTCTTGTTAGCAATCATTATCTTTGAAATACTTATCAATGATTACATAATCATAAGACAAACTGATCCGCTCTTCCATTTGAGAATCTCTATAATTGATGCCAATAACAGCCATAACAGCTATGATATACTAATTGCCAATTTGTATACTAATTATAATTGCAAATACATGTCTAATTCAAAGCAAATTGTTCACAACTTCTTAACCACAAATACATTTAGTATATCATATGTTGGGTTAAATAAAAGTAATGTAATGTATACTCCCATCAACTGATACTAGACTCGAGACACTCTTCAATATGAGTAATGAAGTGACAACTTGTTTGCGACAAAACTAGTTTAGACTTAAGGAGTTCTTAATAAGGATCAAAACTTAAAGCCAAAAGTGTTGCCGTATTTTCAGTCATTTCGTTTGAAATGCACTTCAAATCGTGTTTTAAACGGATATTCAAATCAATTTCCATATCAATTGAGAGCTAATTGTATTGTCGGGTAAATGATATGATAGGGTTTGATAAGACCTACTGTACACTACATTGTAATACATTGTCGACAATGCAATCATGTTATGCCATAAATAAGATATAGGATAGTGTTGTTGGTGTGGATGCCATGCATAGCAAAACATGTGGCAAAACACCACTCATTTGTATTACTCAATAGTCGTTCACTATTTCGATGTGTAATAGTGTTAGCAGTAATTGATTTCATGTCTTTCTGACTTCATTTGACATATTTTTATGATTTTGCCGTTCAATTGATTTTGTTTTTTATTACAAACTAAATATTTTTCACTCAAATCCACATTTTATACACAAACTATTGATTTGAATCGTTATTATTATTATTTATTAATTAAAAACAATCGTTGAAAAAATGACTGAAATATTGAGCGAAAAAGTGGACGAATTGAGTGAACAAATGGCTAAACAATTGAATGGTAAGGAGGAAGAGGTGGACAATGAAGACGATAAAGTGGATCCATGGAATGTGACCTCCAATTCAAAGGCTGGCGTCGATTACGACAAACTCATCGGTAATTGAGACCATATGTCGGCCAATAGTGTATTATTTGTGTTGAAATAACGTGTGATTTGTGTTTCAGTCCGTTTTGGTTGCAGTAAATTAAACGATGAAATCCTGACCAAAATGGAGACATTGATTAACCAAAAGGTCCACCATTTCCTCCGGAGAGGCATATTCTTCTCTCATCGCGATCTTCACCTCATATTAAAACGATATGAGGAGAAGAAGCCGTTCTTCCTCTACACAGGAAGAGGTCCGTCGTCTTCGGCCCTGCATTTGGGACATTTGATACCATTTATGTTCACGCGTTGGATTCAGGAGGCCTTCAATGTGCCGCTTGTCATACAAATGACTGACGACGAGAAGTTCTTATGGAAAGACCTGACCATTGAAACCACCAAAAAGATGACCAAAGAGAATGTCAAAGACATCATTGCTATGGGTTTTGATGTGAACAAAACGTTTATATTTTCCGATCTTTCATACATTGGGTTTGTTATTATTGTTATTAATTAATTAGTTTTAATTAAATGAAATGACATTTTAATGAAACCATTGTTTAATTGACAGAAAATGTCCGGAATTTTACGAGAATATAATAAGAGTTCAAAGAAGTGTAACATTCAATCAAGTGAAGGGCATATTTGGTTTCGGCGACAGCGACTGTATCGGCAAAATCGCATTCCCGGCCATTCAGGCGGCGCCCTCTTTCAGCTCATCGTTTCCTTTTATATTCGATGGCAAGAAAGACATCCCATCACTGATCCCGTGCGCCATAGATCAGGACCCGTACTTCCGGATGACGCGAGATGTGGCGCCACGACTATCGCTCCCCAAACCGGCGTTAATGCACTCGTCGTTTCTGCCGGCGCTGACCGGCGCTCAAACAAAGATGAGTGCTTCCGATCCCAACAACTCTATCTTCTTGACAGACACTCCCAACCAAATCAAGAACAAAATCAATAGATATGCCTTTTCTGGCGGCGGCGCCACTGTTGACGAGCACCGGGCGAATGGCGGCGACTGTGATATCGATATCTCCTATCAATACATGAAGTTCTTTATGGAAGACGACAATCGTTTGGAAGAACTGAGGACTGAATACAGTAGTGGACGGCTTCTGACCGGAGATCTCAAGAAAGAACTCATTGGTATTCTTCAGAAAGTTGTTGCCGAACATCAAGAGAGACGGAAAACAGTTACCGACGAAATAGTAGAACAGTTTATGACTCCAAGAAAATTAAATTTTTAATTTTGTTTTAAATTAACGAATTATATGTAATGTAGAGAAACTAACTCATAATCGCTTCAATATTTTAATTTATTCAGTATAGCAGTAAATGTGTGTAAATATTATTATTTGCATATGATCTTTAAATTTATATGAATCAATCAAAACAAATTAAAGGTTTGTTTTTTTTAAAATAACAATGTCCAATAGCTAAAGTACTGTATAAGGATTTCAATGAATGAAAACATTTCAATTAATTTAGATGTATTTTAAACTCATTAATAGTTAATTAATATTATTAATTACTATGAAATTCAATGCATTAACACTGGACAGTGTTATAAAAAACAAACTAATATTGGATTTGGATTTCATACAGTATATAAATTTAATACACATTTTTCTGCACACAAAACAATTTGAAGTTTTGATGCAAAATATTTAAATTTATTGTAAAAACTATTAATACAACTTTAAAATACAATATTTAATAAAATGTTATTTAATGAAAATGAAATAAAAACAATTTCTATAAACTTTAAAGTTTGATTTATTTTTTGAATCGTAAAGTGAAGTACATTTTATGTTAATTTAAATTTACGGTATATTTATTTAATAATGACTGTATGTTTTGTAGTATTTGTAGTATTGATAATATGGATATTTATAGCCATAGAGATAATCTGAAAATAATTTATTAAGAATGTTATAATAATTTATAACTACCGTAATACTATTTAAATAATTTACAAATCACATATAGGATTTTGTTTTATTAAATTTGAAAACTTGCCATAATAAGGGTAGTAGTAATAATCATCATGATAATAATCATCATAATCATCGTATCCATATCCGTGTCCATAACCATAATCTTTATAGAGTCCATAACTATCTCCATATCCATAGCCACCTCCATAGCCACCATAGCCTCCATAGCCGTATCCTTTAGAATAAGTGCACGACGTTATGGTCAACATCGAGACAATTAGCAAAATCACTGCAATCTATAATTTATTTAATAAGATCTAAATTACAATTATATTATATTAAAATTTACAAATCATACCATATATTTCATTTTCAATAAATATTCCTTTTCTTAATCGTTAAGAAAATTAACTTATTTTGCAAATAAATTGAATATTCTTTTAAAATATCACTCTTTTTATACTCCAAAGAGAAGAGCCGGAAGAGGAGAATACCAATTGATGAGATGACCGCCAAAACATATCATGGAAAGTGATTTTATAATTATTTTCTTAATAATTTAATTTAAATATTTTTTGTTTACCCACTGAAAGGAAATAAAATTTAAAAACAATCTTATTATTGAATATTAATTTAGTAAAAATGGCCATGCTTATGCTTCAATATAATTATTAAATTGCTATAAACAAATTTATTAAATATAATTATTATTTAAAAATATTTATTATACAACAATTATATAGAAAGGTCAATTAATGGTTATTTTAAATATATTTATTGCTTTGGTATATATTTGACAGATTTTCAAATAGTCATTAATTCTTAATTACATTTCATTTGACATCAAAACAGGAATTAATTGATAAATTATAATGACATCAAAGACTAGTTTTCATAATTTCTTACAATCCTCTCATTTAACAGACCTTCCAATGAATACCGGAATTTCAACCAAACAATGCATTCATAAGAAATTGTTTATTGAATGACATAATTGTAATGAAATAATTATCACATGAATAAATTCATACAGTAATTAACATTTTGTGACTTTGAGTTTGCATTCAAATATTGTATTGTCATATAAATTCCCTTTCAAATTATTAAACTATTAATATATTTATAAAGTGTGATCTATAAAATATACCATAAGTACGTACATCAGTTAATCCATGTTTATACTGTAAACATGCTAACATGTTTACAAAAGTTATATAATATTAGATGTTATGTAGAATTATAAACATAAGAATATTTGTACAGGGCCTTTCATATTCTTAATTAAACTATATGGATAATATTTTACAAATTTGAAAATAAATCTTTTTTAACCAAAATTTATACATGAAGAAAATGGTTTATAGGATCGTTCGGCCCACTCCTCCCCTCTCCCACCCTATGGGAAATAACATGGAATTACAGCTTAATCCTATGACATAGACTTAACATGGGCGATACGACGTCGATGGGAATAATGCTGTAAGTCTATGACAATGTTAAGTCTATTGTACTACCGTAAGCATTAGCTATCATAAGTTTATAACAACTTATATTAAATGTGTAGATAATTTATCTAAACTAATTATATAATTTTAATGACATTTGAATATCATTTCACAAATTTTACTGTTATTATTATTGCATTGAAAGTTATTGCATTGCATTAATATTTAAACAAATTTAAAGATTACTGTTATTTACCATTATTTTGTAAGCAATAATAACCGGATAATAGAGTTGTATATTTTATACCGTTAAAGATATTCCTTACAAACTCTTTATTAATTTACATAATTATTTAGGACTTGAATTCAAAGTGAAAGCGAAGATATGGGAAACTTGGTCTGACTTTGAAATGAAAAGTTAACAAAACAGTTAACAAACAAATACGAGTGAACTTAAAATGAATGGTATTTTCCAAAACCTGAACCATAGTTTTGAGGGTCAATAGAGTGGAGGGGAAACCCAATTGCTTTCAGTTATGCAACACTTCATTTAAATGTAACACAAATTGTCTGCTTTAAGGGGTCGCACAACTCCTTACAAATTCTTGTTAGTATATAAGCCATAAAAAAGTGAAACTTCACTTCACTTTCATTATTTCTTTGCTTTCAATATTCAGTTCTTTATTAAATTTTAAAAAAACTACTAAAAATGAAGTTTTTTGTAAGAAATAAAAAATAAACAATTATTGTTTTAATAACAGTTAATTTCTTTTAATTTAGATTTTTTCATCACTTATTGTTTGCGTTATAATCGTTGAGTGTTTTGGAGGTATTACTCAAACATTATATAATTAATAACTTAATTTTAACTTATTTTCTGCTTGTGTTCTGTAGGCAGATATCATCGCAAACGTGGCTATGGATTGAGAGATAGATATGGAGATGACTACGGATACGGTAGTGGTTATGGTCACGGACTGGGAGGCTATGGCGGCGGCGGTTATGGAAGCTATGGAAGTGGAACTTATGGATTGGGTTTGGATAGACTGACGCGAAAGTTAATCAGAAATAATCGTCACGGAAGATATGGTGACCGCTATGGAGGTTACGGTGGATACGGAGGTTATGGTGGATATGGAGGTTATGGTGGAGATTATGATCGCTACGGAGGTTATGGTGGATATGGAAGTTATGACGATTATGGAAGAAGTGCCGGACTTAAGGATTATAAAACTAAAAAATAAATTTTATTCAAACAAACGGATTAAATAAAATGAATAAATAATGTAAAATAGAAATATTGTAATTACAGCGCTGTATATAAGAAATAATATGAATAAAAATATATTAATATATGAGTAAATATGGTTTAATATGTTTAATGTGTTCATAACTTTGGTCTAGTTATGTGAAGTGAAGATCTCAAGTGATGCACAAGTCGTTCACATTTGACGATATCTTAAATAAAAGTTAAATAATTTAATTAACATTTAAATAATGAATAAATACTGACTCTCTTTAAGCGTAGAATTTCTTCCAAATTTATTCACTTTTAATAAATTGATTTCAGTTTTCATTGAACTGATTTTGAAAATCAATTCATTGAAGACATCACTTCGAGGAATGTGAGCCTTGAGTTGTATGGTATCACAATTATCGTCACTTCCATTACCATCGATGCACTTATGATCAACGCTTTCATCTATTTTCTGGTCATTAATTGCGATTCCTTTATGCAAAGCAATTGAATTGAGTTTATCTCTTATGACTTCAGCGCTTTGTCGACACTTTGGTTTCTGACAATCAATGAGCGCTTCCAACACATCCATTAAATCCATTCCAAAGTTCTTTGAACTCCATGTAAATCGAGACTTAATCTGTCGGACAGTCTGTGAGATGGATAAGTGCTCACCACTGGAACCGTTGCATTCGTGGATCTCTTTAATGGCGTTGAAATAATCCTTTTCGGGAATTATCACTCGTTTTGTTATTTTATGGATCAGATCTCCATTTGAATACACCATACGTTTAGTCCAATTTCGGAATTTCTTTCTTATGGTGTTATTATTCTTCTTCGCCGTTGTGTTCATAGTTTGACTCATTTCTGAGACCAACAACTCTTTCGATGGCATACTTTTGTTGTCATCCTTTAAATGCTTTACAAAACAGAAATACAGTTGCGATGAAAGTCTGGAACCGATCCGTAATTTATTCCAAGTCTTGTTTTCTTTAGTTTCACTCATTTTACTATTCATTTAATGTTTGGATTCAAAATGTAAGAAACGATGTCTTTTAGTCGCAACGAAACATCACTTTAAATGGCAATTATATAGCAATCTATTAAATGGTAAAACCATTTGTCACATAAATTCTTTCGATAATCGATTTGTCATCTGTTTTACAGCTTTTGATTCATATCTCGTTCTCAACAATAATCTTATCATTTATTCAATACTTTTGGAAAAAAAAGAAGAAACGCTTTAAAGTCTGTAATAAGTCTCTGTGTTAAAAGTACTGTTAATTACTGTAATTAATACATTAGATGTACTATATATTAATTACCAATTAAATAGTATTAGCATTAATTAAGCCGACTTTTAAATGCAAAAACTTCAATAAATATTTTTATTTTAATTGTTATAAATTCATATATAATTTGCTTAAAATACAATTATATAAATTTGAGTCAAAAAATTATATTATGGTAAATAAAAGCAATAATTAAAAGCATTATACATAAGATTTTTAGTAAAATATTGTGTTTAAAATTAATGATATAATAAAAGTGATATTAAAGGATAGCATTTTCAATGAATCCTTTGATACTCTTCGGGAGGGGAAGGCTTTGGATTTGTGAGAAACTCATGGACTGTCTGATCACAAATTTGCATAAGTATTGCAAAGACCGGACTTCACTAAACCGAGACACCGGTCGCGTCAGTCGGACCGGGAATGACGGCGAGACCGGCGACCGACCTCTTGAGTAACAGAAGACACCCTTTTCTGAGTTAGACATCGAATCCTGGATTAAATCCATTAGCGATGAGTTGCCGTCCGAACAGCGGTTGGAGTAAAAGCTAAACAATCCGTTCGTGTATTCAATGCGTGTGTGAAGAGTGCGACCAAAGGATCGGAAACTCAGACTAAACAAGTAGTGGTCGTCAGAACTGTCGCGAACTAAGAACGAGCCGTCCATTTGATCCCGAAGTTTGTCTTCGGCTTCGCGTCTAGTAATGGGTCCCCAATACCAACCGTTGCACACAATCCGCTCGATCTCATCCACTAAACTGCTCTTTCTTGAGCTCAACTTTTTCACACTTGAATCTATCGTTTCGTCACTTTTCAGATCAATTGACAAATCGTTTGAGAAGACATATGAATGCGAGTCATCCGATTGGACGTCTGTTTTAACTGCGATGTCGTTTTGCTGGCCATCACTCGACGCGTTTGGATCGTCGCCTAACTCTTCGTTTAAATCAATGGCATTTGAATTGCATTTGAGGTCGTCTTGCGATTGGTTCGCATCGAAAGCTAACTCTTGTGTCTTGAGTTCAGACATCTGATGAACTTTTTGTCTATTTTTGTTTTTCTTAAATTTATTTCTAAACGATTGCAACAAAACTGACGGCAATTTCAGAAATTTATTCGTTTCCGAAGTACTGTTGGAACCGATGGTGTGATTAGTGTCTGAATGTGTGGACAATCGATCGTAAGTGACATCAAATTGTCGGTCACTTCGGGCGCAGTCTTCGTCGACGACCTGATCCTCGTCGTCGTCGTCATTGCCTTTCGCGTCACCCAATCGTTGTTCACCTCTTTGTTTGGATCCATTGCGTGATCTTCTGTGGAAAGTGTCGACGAGTTTAGCGAATGATATCTTTTTCATCATTTCATGCAATCATTGATTTGTTTAACAAAAACTCAATTCAAAGCACTTTATAATCAAAACTAAAGGCAAACAAAAAACTAGTCGTGAATTGAAGTGAACTCTCGTTTAGTTTACATTAAAAGCTATTTTCAAAACTCACCGAAACTCACAATAAGACGACTTAAGGGCGCATGACTTACATGTGTTGCCTATGCTTTCACTGAACAAATTGGAAGTTCCAATGTATGTCCATTTGACTCACTTTTCACAACTTTCAATACATTATAAATGATAATTTGCTTCAAGAATAAACACCAAGAAGTGTTTGCCGGGCAAAAGTGGTTCATATGGTTTACATGACCAACACTCGTCATATCTATCGTATTGCTAGAGTACTTCTTTAGTTATATTGCAATTAAAGACATAACCAGTACTTTAAGAAGTTATCACAAAACTTTATTCGTATAAATAAATGTCTAATGTAACAGTAAAACTTATTTTTAATTTATTTTACTGTTATACTGTATAATACAGTAATATACAGTGTATATCATTATTCATTTTGTGGACTTAAAATTAATACCATATTTACCCCAAATTGAATCACTATTTGGAGGGTTTCGTACAAACAGTGCATTCGTATGAAGAGATAAATGACTGAAACAACGATCAAATTTTGCAAATAATCGACATTTTAATCAAAACCCGATTTATTACATAAACTAATCTTTAATTATTATTATAATAATTAGTTGATTATAATTATCAAAAATGCATAGAAATAGAAATAACAGTAAATGAATAAAGGTATTAAAATTTGAACTATTAATACAACTACTTGTATAATAGATGTAATAATAAATTAAATAATAACAAAAACTCAATGAAAAAAAAACTAAATTAAATAAATCAATGATTGGCACAAACAAAATGGTTGAATGAATGAACGACTAATGACTTAAAATGATTGGAAACTTATTTTTGTAGCGAAGAGTTGGAAGAGGAAGAGTTGGAGCGAGACTTGGAAAATATCGACGACTTTTTAGCTCCAATTTTGTCACTTTTATTTGATTCGCTTTGTTTGGGACCCACTTCTGAATCAATTAGTTCTTCCTTACTATTGGAGGATAATTCAAATTTGGCGCCAATCAGTCCGACCACTGATTTTGGCCTTTGTTTCAGTGGCGGTGGATTCGATTGTCGCGGAAGTGATGACCGGTTTGAGTCCGTTAGTGAAGTGCTAAGCCCTATGTCTTCGTTGGCAGGGCTTTGGCTTTTGTTTGGAGATTTCAAAATGTCTCCAAACACTGTTGCCCTTAATTTGACGCCTTGTAATGGATTCGAGTTATTAATCAATGGATTCGAGTCAATAGTGGCCGCAATCGAGATAATAGGAGGTGTGGTCGGTGTCTGTGCTAATGACCGGCGGCCCTGTTTGGCCCTCATCTCAGCCAATAAGTCGGTGCGTTCGGTGGGCAACGGACTCGTCATTCTTTCGCTTGACTCCAATATATTAGCGATTTCTTCAGCGCCGGGGGATGTGTTTCGTGGAATGGGAATCACCTGAGAGGTCCTCTTATTGCCTAAATTGGGTGAAGAGCGCGAACGCGTCACTTCATCCATACGCGATGAGAGTAGAGATGACTGCACCGGACCTGTGCTCACACCTGTGCTCACACTCGTCTCGTCATCCTTTTTAGAGTTATCGTTGGCAGTGGTCTTCATGTGTGAGAAATCGGATTTCACTCCAAACTTTTTGAAGAGACCGACTCTGGGCTGGATTTGAGGCCTTAATGAAGAGTCCTGAGGCTTCTTGAAGAATGTTTCCAAACCTTCGTCTAATTTCTCTACTCTATCACTCATTTCGTTCACTGATGTCCTATCCTTAACATCCGGTTTAGCATTTGGTAAGTTTGGAGTTCGAGTCGGTGCTCGAGTTTTAGGTCTTTTTGGTCGAGATTTAGCCAAATGTGACAATTTGTCAGAACTGGCAGAAGTCAAAAGACTGGAATCAATTGAATTCAAACCACTGTTAGAACTGTCAGACTTCTTTGGTAATAGATCTGGAATATCATTAGATGTCAAGCCATCCAAAACTGATTGAGGTCTAAGTCGTCGAACGTAAAGACTTTGTCTCTTTTGTGTCGATTGTTTAGGCGTCGCCTGAATTGCATTCATTGTTAACAACAAATTAATATAAATTAATGAAAATTTGTATAATTTATAATAATTTAATACAACTGTTAGTCATAGTAAAGAGCATAAAAACAGGAGAGGGAGGGATAGGGAGGGAGAGAGCGAAAGAGAACTCACTAAATTAAGCCACGCTAACCACTGGCAGCAGTAGAAAGAATATAATTGTTAGCATTAGTTATACAAGTAATTTATATTTCAACACATTATAAGTTAGATTTAGGGACAATACTAACGACAGTGGATTCGTCGTCAACGTGTCCATCAATGGACAAATTTCCTTCAGTGGATGACTCTCGAGAACAATTGCCTTCAATCCATGTCCTGCTCCGCAAAACATCAGGCGTTGAACTTCTTTGACTGAGAGATTGTTTGGTCTCCTGTCCGGTGAGCGCTCTATGACTTGATGAGAGACATTCACTCACTTCTATCAATACTTTATCACAAATCTGAGCCGCGATTCCCTGAAGAATTTCATCAATTTTGGTGGTGAGAAGAGCGCCGACACTGTCTGACAAACAGGTCTGAAAAAAATTCAACGAAGGAAGTAATGGAGAGTTTTTCGTATTATTGAAAATGCGGTGCAATTCTGTCTGAAGCCGATCGCTGTCAGAGATGACATGCGGACACTGTTCTTGTATTGCTTCAATCATCGATGCAATCACACCATTGATGTGTGATTCAAATGTCTTCTTCAATTCAAGAGACGTTTCAATCAGTTTTGTTTCAATTGGTTTACAGATAGATAATGTAGACAAACGGCGACCACTTTCACTGTTCTCGGGATATATGAGTTTGTGATTCAAATGTGTCAACAAATGTTTGGCATTCGAGGCGTCCCTTAAATAGCTCTCAGCCCTCAGTATCTCTTCGTCTTTGGCACTCAATTCAAACGATTCCGAAGACTTTTTAGTCTCATTTGTTGTACTATTATTTAAGACATCACTTAAATGAACAGCTAATTTGTCAACCATTTGAAGGACATTGGGATCGATTTGCATGTGATGGCTGTGAAGACGACTGTTCTTCAACATAGTCTGCGGCAAATGATTTCGTCGCAAGAGTTCTTGAATTTTAGTGACCGCCGATTCGGTGCGTTCAGCCATTTTGACCATCGCTGTCTGCACGTCCTGTACGGGCACCGGCATGTACTTCAATGTGTAATTCCTCTCCAGTGAGTACGCAATGTCCACAAAACCCATCGTTGGAATCATATTTCGATCCAAATATATTGTCTCTAATTTGGAATTCACTTGAAGTGCTTTGGCTAGAGTTCTGGCGCCCGACAGTCCCATCAGATTTCCTGTTTCAACAAGATTTTTAAATATCGCCTTAAAAATGGACTCAAACTAAGCAAATACCTGTGACATCGATGTTAACTAATGATTGGTTAGAACCCAAAGCATTGATAACAAGGCAAGTATCGCCTCGAAGTTTGGAATCAACTAATGAAAGCGATTCCAATACCGAGTCTTCATCTTGTAAAAGGTGAACCAGAGATTCAAGAACTCGAGGCATATGTCTGCACAAAGTTATTTAGAAATCATATATTCTGTAATTATATATCATTATTGTATAACCAATTCATACTTAGGCTTAATATAAGTGAAATTCTTTCCAATAGATAAGTATTTAATGGATTTATTTTTGCCGATAGAATTGATGACATTTGTCACGTCGACATCAAATCCGTTGTCACTTAAGTCCAATCCACTGATACATCGGATGCCTCCCAAAGCAAACTCCAAAACAGTGGCTCCGTTTGATTTCAACTCATTTGAACTGAGATTAATGCGAACGTCGGTCGCGATCTCATTGCACGCAAACCCTAAAAGCATCGCTTTTAACGCTTCCGCCGGTAATCGATTGCCCGACAAATTCAATGTTTTCAACGCAACAGTCGATGAGAAGAATGCCTTGAAAGACGGCGGAGGGTTCACCTCTTTATGACTCTTTTTGCTACTAAACTGATTGCGCGAAAGGTTTAAGTGAACCAACTTTTGAGTGCAACCCCTGAGGAATGCACCGAACGCTGTCTCTAATGAGCATTCGGTGTTTGATAGATCCAAATGAGTTATATTATTGGGTTTCGCTAACAAGTTGTATAATTTCTGCAATAAATACATTCATATTCAGTACAAACATCACATAAATAGCACCAAAATAGGACTTACGTTAACGTCGTCTTTAAGGACATTATCGCTGAGATTGAGATAAGTTAGAGACGAAGAAATCGAATTGTTAATAGAGAGCGAATCCGAGAGTTCAGAGACACCTTTACATGTAATGGACGTATGGCTTAAATTCAAATGAGTTAAGCCTTTGTTTAGTTTGATTGCGAGGCTATTGAGTGATGAGTCGTCACTATTGCTATTCCCCTGAAATGATTTGGCGACAAATCCTGTCAAAGACTTGAGGCCTTTGTCTTCGATTAAATTATTGGACAAATCGATGAAATGAATGGCAGTTTGACTGTTCGTCAAAATGGCTAAAAATAATTTGTTTACGGAATCGTTCTTAAGTCCGGTGTTATCTAAATATAAATCCTCTAAAACGGTGGACCTCTTGACGAGATTATATATCTGTTCCGCCACTTCTGGCATCACATGACCGGAAAACACTTTTATATTACTGGCTCTGAATCTAGTGAACCATCCGTTATATGAAAGCGCGGCTATAATTGCAATGAAATCCTTGGCCTCTAAGTGCTCAAAGTCCAGAAGCGAGAACTCCTGGTTATTGTGCGTCGAGTAGATGGTGTCCACATCCCAAACCACTTCCTCGCGATACACACCACCAAAATAGTCGCAAAGACACGCGTATTGAGTGGAAAAGCCTCCGCACGGGTTCTCAATAGTATTAAGATTAGCCCTCTGTTCAACACTTTGGTTGTATTCAATCATTGACTGAATCCGAGTGTTTGGCTCCACTTCAAGCTTACGGATGAATGAGTCGAGAGAAATGTGTGGGAATATAGTCTTGAGAGCGGTTCCCAACTGTATAATCATTAGATTGATTTCCTCGCCATTGTTTGGATCCACAGAATAAAAAGTGTATGACTTGTTCTCGGAAGTGATGCCAATCGTCAGCTGATTTTTGCGTTTGCTTTCAATTGAATTAATGTCTAAGTAATGAAATGTTTGCTCTATTTTTGTGGACACTTTGGGTGTGAGGATAAAGAGACGACAGGCACTGAACGCCAAGATCTTGTTCTCTGTCTTATCGGCTTTGATCTCCATTTTGACCAAACATTTCAGCGATATCTTCACGCTATGGCCCAGAAGTGCCGAAACACTCTCTAAACAAATCAAATCAATGCAAACAATGATTGAGACATTTGTGCCAAAAAATGAGACAAACATTTGTGTCTAAAGTTATGTCATTTGTGTTACAGAATATATAATTAAAATTTACATTAAATTTATGTAATTTTGTTTTGTTTGCGAAACTCGTAAACGAGTTAATTATCTGTCATTTATTTTTTTTTTGTAATTAGCGTTAAATGAAATGCTTTTAAACGACTAAAACAATGCAACAAAATAATCATTTCCTCTAAATTAACGTTAAAAAGTGAGTCCAAAATAATATAATGGAAATACAAATGCAAACCAAACGTATAATTATTTGTCAGTAAAAAACTTTACATATATTTATGGCATTAAAACTTGTCAATCGTTTTAACGATAAAATAGTGTTTACAATAAAAGCCAGTTATGATTGTATTGAGCGTTGAATTAAAGGTTTGGGAAGTGTTTGGGATGTGTTTTGTTTGGCTTTTCTATAGTATTATGTGTTTTGTATGTGTTTTTGGGTTTGACTTTACATTTCTCAACACAACAACAAATACGGAAACTAAATATACATCTATTTGTTGGCAATGAATGCCTTCGCAGACAATACACTTACCGCTCAGCTCTTTGGTGAGGGACCCCTTCACAGACATGTCGGACAACACTTCTTCGGCACCCGATGTCTGGTTTGTCAACACTATTACCAAACAATTGATTGATTTAAATGTCAATTACTGTTAAATGCAATGCATATGTAGTGAGACATTGGCTCTCGACTACTGCAACACAACACTAGCCATACATTGCGTTCACAGCAATAGCACAGCAAATATTAATACCACACAAACCCGTCTCACATCCACTCCCACTCATACAGTCAACACTCGCTATACTATACACAGAGAGCGCTGTCAACTATTATATGCAGTGTTTCAAACACTATTTAACTGCTAATTATTAATCAGACAACTGTTTTAATGACCACAAAATAGCATAATAAATACCTGGATGTCTGCGAAATGATTTTTAACAAACTTTGTTTCAATTCAATTGAATTGCTGTCAAAATCTATGCAAAACTGAATGTCTGCAAACTTTGAGTTTATTGAACTCAAACTGTCTGTCCATTCAATCGTTTACATATAATATGAGTGGCCATTAGTCGGCGGTTAAGACTTTTTATGGCTTTAAATCATTGATTTAGATAACGATTCAAAAGATAAAAATCAAAATTAAGGTATTATTTGCGTTAAAACACTTGTAATTCAATACATAATTGATTGGCAAATATAATGCAGTCGTAATGACAGCAAAACCCCCGAAACTTATATTATATAACAATAGTAATGATATAAAAGTCCCCAAAAAGGCATTCAATGGTGTTTTGAAGACAACCAAAACAAAACACTTTTGTCGCATATTTTTGAGTGAATCCAGTCTTAAGCAATCAATTTGTGGATCCATTGGGTGACCGGAAATGGCGGTCAATTTGGGAAAACCCATTTCGGAGTTCGCGGCATATCTGCGGCGAGACCTGACTTCACACACCCGTCGGGTCCAGAATCTATACAAACGGATCTGTCGTAACGAAGAGGCCTGGCTTGAGGACAGGTCTGTACCACTACTTCACTACTCTAACCATTCATTATCTCATTTGATATACATTTGCAGACACGACATCCGCTATAAGATGGTGTTATTGAGGGCTGAGTTTGAGAAACACCGACACGTGAAGGACATGCGAGTGGCGAAGGCGTTGATGGACGAGGGAGAGAGACAGCTCTTCCTGAACATACATCCGTCGCCCAAATACTTCACGAGTAGTCCCGGCGGCTGTTGTTTCGAGCGCTACCGCGACTATCCGGACATTCACGCCGACCACTGGCACCCACTCGAGAAGGCGAGGTATCCCTACTATTTCGCCAAACGAGAGCTCCGGAAGAAGCAATACATCCAGTTGTGGGAGAAGGGAAACCACAACACAGGACACACCGGTGGCGCTCACCACTAGAGGCCCGACACTAATACGGGTCTCTCAGTCGGTGTTTGTTCTCAGTTTGAAAACCAAATTGTTTAGCATTTCAAGAGAAAAATGTAGATATTATTGAATTTAGAGAATAAAATACAGTTATAAATAAGTTAATTAGGCTGAAGGTGTCTTCGCCGCTGGATCAGGTGTCTGTCGCTTATGTCTAACAATCAAACTAAAGTCAATTCTCTCGATATCACTATTGGACGAGTTGTCGGAATCACTGCTATCACTATCGCCGTAGTGTCCGAGTCCTGGAAGAACTCCAATACACTTAACACTCGCGTTATTTGACACAACCTTTTCAGACCCTCCGCTCGATGTGTCACTTGTCTTACTGTCGTCGGCAGCGGTCGTGTCGTCAGATCTCAACTTCTTTGGTGTCTTGCCTTCGCTGGTCTCCGATTGAGTCCTCTTTCGGATCACATTCGCCAGAAGTGCCGATTGAGTGCTCTTTTTGGTCGGTTTGTTACAATTGGTCTCATTTTTCGTAAACAAATTAGTCTTTTTCAAGTCATTGAAGCGCTTCTCCTGTTCTTCATTATTCAACTCATTCATGGCTTTCTTGTATTCCTCGAGAGTTTGTGTCTCCTCTTGAAGTCGTTGTGTTTCTAATTGTATTTTATTGTTGTCAACCATTTCGAGGAAATGAATCTCTTCGCTGTCCAACCCTTTGATCAAATTCTTCAGTTTTCTCGACTCTTCAAACTCTTCGTCTTTTAAATCCTTTTGCTCTTTGAGTCTCTGATAAAGAGTCCGCGAATCGTACGGCTCTTCAGGCGCTTCTGTACAACAAAAACAAACCATGAGTTCAATGATAGTGATAGTCATGTGTCAATAGATGGCCACAAACCTAACGGCATGTCTTGTGTCCTATTCTTCTCGTACTCCTCTTGTCTTCGTTGACGCCTTTCGCTGATCTCCGACTCGGAGACAAACGACAGACCGCTTCCACTCTTTCCTCCAGAACTCATTGTTAATTATATTGCAATCAATTATAACTGAATTTAAACTAATTATTGATAACAAAAAACAACTCAATTTATGAAACAATAGTTTGTTATGAAATGAATAGCAATTCAATGCTTCAAAACATTGCTCTACTCTTTACGAGCAAACCATTAGTAAAAAGCGTACTTTTGATGCCATTTATTGCCCTTTAATTATCGCATTGTTTTGTATTAATCCTTACAATGAATTGTTTGACATAAATTTAAAACGTGATAATTTACTAAATGTATAATATTTTAATCATTATTAAACATTAAAACCAATATTTCATTGCAAACATTGTTTAGAAAACAAATTGAAGTTTAAATACAATTGATTGTAACGTAAGTTACGGATGGGAAACACATTTTGCAATATTTTCTTTGGTATAGATTTAGACAAAAATATTTGATTTGAGTTTTGAATCAATACTTAATCAGTCTTTTGATAGGAATCTGTGTTTTGAGCGAAATCTGAGCGCAAATGAGCGAAACGACGGCCGAAGAGGAGTTACCGCAGAGTTTGGTCACCGATTGTGAGACATCTCTGGTCGACGGCGAGGGGAAGAACTCATTGAGTTTGTCGTGTCTTCACTGCGATTGTCTTCTCCTCAGACCTAATATCGCATTGTTTGTCAAAATTGAGGTCTAATTGGGAGTAAGTGTTGAGACACTGATTGTATGTGTGATGTGTTTGCCGTGTCTTTGCAGAAGTCATTGCCGGAGATGTTATTACGAAGGGATGGCGAGAGGAGTGAAGTGGAAGTGTTGTCCGACTTCTGGATGGTTACCGATATGTTTCAGTTCGAGAACATGGCCTTCAGTAAGAACGTGGAGGACGTCAAGTACTTGGCCTGCGCTGAGTGTGACATCGGACCCATCGGTTGGCACAACCTCTGCGACCAGAAGTGTTACGTCGCTCTCAACCGAATCAAACATCACTGAACACCACATCCGCACCATTTGGACACTTATTTTGATCCGATTTATAGTTAATATATTTGACAAAAACAGTACTTATCTTAAGATTTAAATTCATAACTATTATCGATATAATTATATCATATATTAATATATATTATCTGCAAATGTTTTTGGGATATAAAGCTATTCGTGTTTTTTATTGATAATATATTTTTCTAATTTTTGTTAACTTATTATTGAATTAACAGCTAATCCATTGAACAGCTTTTATAATGATTAAGTAAATGCATTTTCTATTAAAATATTTTTAAAGACACTATTTTTCCTTCATTTTAATTCATTTTTCCTGCAATTAATTATTTTGGGCGCAAAGTGTGAGTTGTATTGAGTGTTGTCGACACAGACAGCAAACGACTATCAATTACTCTAAAGTAATTGAGACATCCGTCCAATGTTTGAGATGTTATGGTGTATTTGATATATGTTAGTCCAAAGGCACTTCTAGTTTAGCTACGATAAAGAAATTAATTTTATAATTTAAGTTACCAGAATTTACTGTATATGGGCTAATCATGTCAGCTTTATGAAATTCGCTTTTTGGTGCCTATGAATGTATACTTAAACTATAAAATTAATTTCGTTGAAATATTTCCATTAATTCTATACAAAGACTAATATATATCAAATAACCCAATAAGTTATGTTTGAAAAAATTAATTTTTAATTACTTTCAACATAAATGACACAACAATGAGCTTTTCATACAAATCTTAACGATTGTGAGCACAACTATCTATAGATTCCTATACTATAAGTCATGTCTCGATGAATATTAATGCCACACAACAGGTAATGAATGACATTTGTATTTCATATGAAAACATAATTCATATGCAATCGAAAAGTACTGTAAAGTTTTGATACGTTAAAAATTAGATTACAATGAGATTAATTTTTTACGAATGCAATAATAATAGTAGTATTGTTTCGTTGACTACAGAATGCATTTGATTAGTGCCATCGTTTCAACGCAACCCATCATTACATTGGCTTTTAGTGTATTTTATTTAATAAAAAGAGTATATTATGCGTGAAATTGTATGACAAAAGTAATCAATTTATTTATTTAACAGCCATTGACTGGAAAAAAATAAAATAAAAACTAGTTTCATATAACAGGGAGTGAATTGATTGAGTAGTGAAATGGTGCTAACATTGACCACTATATTAATTATTGTCGGCGTTTGCATCGCGGTTGTAGTGCTGGGCATATGTCTAGTCTGTTGTTTAGCCCAATGGCTTTGCGGCAAAATATTATGCGCTCCGTGTAAATGTCTTTGTCCATGCTGATACTGCTCACATTCAATGACCGAGCTTATTTCGTTGAACCTATTTTGCCATGGTCATCGCAACATTAGCTCACTTTCACTGTTAGCCATTGAAAATTAATTTCTTGATTATTGATTGTAATTATGAAATTTATTCAAATATATTTATTAAGAATATTTTTCTAAATTAATTTATTATTCATTGTTATATATAATTAAAATTTTATATAATGTTTATATTGAAATTATTAACGAATTATGTATTTTTAATGCAATAGTTTTATATTCTCTAATAAATAAACATTTGATGTGTGAAAACACAAAGTTATCGTAAATACAAGACTTGGATTCCGGTTCTAGTATTGAATTAATGTCAACATTTAATATATTATATAACAATAATATATTTGTTGAGGTTTTCATAACAGCAAAGTAATTAGTTTTTACTGTCAATCAATATTATCAGTGAATCTAATATAGCGTGTGATTCATTGCATGAGTGATACTGTTATACTGTATCACTGATATTGTGATCAAAGGTATCGACGATAAGTTATCTGAAATACTTGCTAATCCTGGTCTTTACTCAACTAAACATAATTAAACGAAAGTAAATTAATTTACACACTTGCAATCTTTGGATTAACCATTCAAAACATTTATTAAAATTAATTAAACTAATTTATTGGTGAAAGGATTATATTCTGGTTGGGTTGTATTGTATATTTTATAACGTATAATAACTTTATACAAACTTTTGGTATAAAGTAAATTACATGGTAAGTTAATTTGTAAATAATATTAATGATGTTTTAATTATTATTATTGTAAACATTTGTTTTATTTAATTTTTTATATATAATTTAGTCTACTTGCTGAATCTCTAATTAATATTTAGCTAATTATTAAGTTTAGTGTTTTATCATTGTGTTTGATAACTGTTGTTTTATTGTGAAGTGGCAAGATTTTTAATTGAAATTATTTTATAGCAACCAATTAATTGTTAACTTAATTGTAATTTATTACATGTTTGTGAAATGCATCCAAAACTTTAGATTCTGAATCTTAAAGGCTTGGATTTATCAATCAAACTCATATGTAATGTTTAAATTGTTATTTATAACTTATTTAATTATTTCATAATTAACTGAAATAACTTTTTCATATTTCATGTTTAATTTGAATCATTAAGCAATAAAACGACTTTTTATGAGTGATATATGAAATATAAGTAAAAATAACTTTACTTTTATAAATGCATACATAACAGTAAGTAAAGGACATGAACTTAATTACTGTTTAACACGAATTGATTGTAAAAGTAAAGTATTTAATTACTATAATTCGGTCTTCTTTTATAACTTTTATTTAAATTGTTTTTCTTTCATTGAATACATTATTTCTACAAAATATATATGAAATGTAGGAATAAATTAAAAATTCTGAAATGCATATACAATGTTACTTACATTTTAATTAAATTAATATTTAGGTATAAATTCAATAATAATAATGTTTTACTGTATTAATCCTTGCATTAATCCAAACGACGATTTACTAGTGATTTGTGGAGAGATCGTCAGATTTGTTAAGATTACCGCTCGAAGAATATTTTAATTTGGATTCATTTCTTTGATCTCTGAATTCTGGCTTATTTTCAGCGTTTGATTCATAGATAATGGGAACACTTCTGTAGACACTATTCTGGGTATTGGTTTCAAAGCGTATTAACGGTCCGGAAATTGTTGGCAGTCTTCTGTCGGCGACAAAGATTGTCGATAGTCTTCGGCCGCTATTAATGCAAGCCTTTGAAAGTCTTCGGGCCATATCTTCTCGCTTTTTCCTATCAGTTTTGCATAAGAATACGACTACAAGTAAAGCCATTACCATAAGTGTAGACGAGAAGACAATTATTCCTATCATTGACTCAGAAGTTGCGCCTATTTATGAAAATATACATTAATATTAAATTTAAATACTATTATAATAATAATGAAGATATATTTACTGCAACTTTGTTCGTCAAACCCATTAACACAGTTATCAATGCCATCACATTCTAGAGACAGTCAATTGTTAGTAAAATTTATATAAATAAATGGCAATAATTGTTATTATTAGTTAACATGAATACCCAGCATATTATCGACACACAATCTATCGCCGCAATTGAAACCTAGAGATGAATTGTGTCCGCAAACGCCGTTTAGGTTCGCATCTATTTTAAATAACGATAACAATTAAATATTTACCGTATATTTAGAAATATAATGAGTTCTCACTCGTAAATAGTGTTAAAACAATTTTAAACCCTTTGCCAAATAAGGAGAGAATAAAATTTTCCGATTTAAACACTATATTAATCTCTCCTTTATTTCCAATCGACATTATATTCACTTTCGGATGCATTTCCTCGTTATTTCCCAACCATTTATAAGAAGTATTATTATTATCTGATATCACTTCCAGCGAGTCTTCATAGGCGTAAAATTTTCTGAGTTTAATTCTCTTGACGTATGCAATGAGACCATAATTAGGCGGCGCTCTGACCGTCACTTCGCAGTCGAGGTTTGGTTTATATGTTTCGCGTTTCAGTTTGAAGAGAGCGACCGACGGCTTCACATTAGCCGCCAACTGAACGGTCGATCCCTTTAAAAGTCCGCAATAATCGCTTATGTAGTCTAGTATTTCAAGTAATTCAATATATTTTACATTATTTCTCTGATCTTAACTTAACTTACAATCGATTAATTGATGGAAACATACATTTTGGATACGAACTCAAACACAAGTTTAATACAAAAATACTAAATATTAAAAAATATGTTATATTATTTGCGAAATTCATTGCGACTAAAAGTTTGTGAAACAATAGATTTGCGACTATTTATTAATCAAAACATAAGAAAAGCAATTCACCTCATCCTTACATAGTGTTCAATCACTTGAAAGCAAAGCTTTAAGTGTTTTCTATCTAATCAAATCTCTTGATTTACTTTTTCTCTGTTAAAATAAGTATAAAATTGCATTTTGATGTCATATATAAATACTTAACACCAATTATATCGAGATTGCATTCATTTGAGATAATATTATTTGGGCGTTAAGTCGGGTGAGATTTCTTTGAGTCTATCGCCAAATATATAACAAATTTTCTTAATATATTCATTGCGAAAGTCATCTAAAGATACCGATTATCTTCTCGTGACTTTGAATAACTTTTGAATAACTTAAAAGTTTTAATATAATATTAATTATATTACTCACAGTTATCAACACTATTCAATATATTTGTGTTTAACAAATACGTGGTAATTATAGCAAAATATTATTATATTTATTATTTTTCTATGAAATAATATTTATTTAACATTAATTTATACAATAACTTTTATAATGAATAACAATTATATTGAATAAAAGGTTATTTATAAATAGTAACATTAAAAGCATAAATTTTTACAATACAAATCTGTAGAATCAATTGATGAAACTTACTTTGTCTTAAAAGTTAGTTATTGATCTTAAGTCTTAAGATTTTAATATATTTGTTAAATCTAATAATAAATATTTATTGCTTTAATGATTAATATATTTAAGATTCTTAATAATAATTAAACAAATTTTTTGGTGAATGTAAATATAGTGAAACTAACAATATTTCATCGTTGTAAAGGACACCAACCCCTAATTATAAGAAATATTCTACTAATAACATCAAAGAGCTGCATATGAACTATAGAAACTATTTTAGCGATTAAGAGAATTAACCATATATTTGGTATTTGGTATCATATCAATATGGTTATTTTAGCAAATAGTTATTTCAAGTATCATAATTTATTTGACTTGTTATTAAGTTTGCCCAATTTTTTGTTGTAAAAATGTGCTCATTTTCTGATAAAATATGCGCTTAAATACACTATTTTGAGATGCTTTGATGCTTTGATACAAATGTACATGCATTTTATTTCACAACAAATATTTTGTCGATAATAATTATTATTTTGCTTTAAGTCAACATCGATTAGTTTATTGATTTAACATAACCTTTAATTCAATGATTTAGCAGTAAATATAGAAAAATTAACATTTCTTTTTATTAATATACATTTAGTTGTAAAAATAAATTACATAATAAATAATTTATATTAATAGCAATAAAGACATTTGAGACATAAAGAGAATCCCAGAATATTTTGTTGTATAGATTTTCAAAAAATACATTTAATACAAAACAAAACATCATTAAAAGCTCAATAATAATTATAAATTACTGAAAAGTTTCGATAGAATATATGAATGTAATAACAATAACGAGTGAATTATAACTTATAATTATAACTTAATTTATAAGAAATGTTAATAAATTTAATGAGAAAATAGAGATAATATGTAAATAATGTTGAAAGCAATTGAGAGATAAGGCCTATAATATTGGAAGACTTTGAGAGGTTTAGTCCTCTAAATCAAGTGCTTTCACGCGTTTTCCATAATTGATTTCAATGGTCGCCAAAAATTAATGCAAATGAATGGGAAATTAGTTCATAATTTTGAATTTCATATTCTCTGATATACTAATCATACAAAGAATCGGACATTTTTTATCACACATTTTGTATTCATAGAGAGCGTCGGTTATGTGTTGAATGTGTTTCCTGTGTCGCAAATGCTTGTCTGTTATCGATTGGACGCTCTTCTCAAACGCGCTCTTCGGCTCGTTTTCGTTGTCAACATTCAACTCGATTTCGGCACAAATGGCTTTTATCACTCGGAAGGGCACATCCACTGCCAACACCTCTATTATTGTATTATTCATTACAAAATTCAAAGCCGTCGATAACTGAGAGATTATATCCTTTTCGTGTCTTTTCTTCACTATTGGTTGCAATCGTTCGCAAATGAAAGTGACTTTTATATTGGAAGCGATGGCAGAGGTTTGCGTATAATTGCCATCATTTGAATACATGGATTGATTGTTAATCACTTTATTACTATCGCTTCTGGGAATCATTGTCTGGTCAGAGTTGGCGCTATTGGAGGCGCTGTTGGAATCACTTTTCAACGACAATAAACTTCGAGTGACATATTCGACAATATCAGAGACGGGTCCACCCTTTTTATCGATGAACCGCTCCTTTTCGTAAGCAAACAGTTTGGCACTCATTTGATGAAAGTTTGTTTGATTTGAATCAAAGGTCTCTTTAATAACGACTGCATATCGAACTGAGTTCTCTTTGCAGAAGGCGTGCAATTCATCAATATTTTTGGGCAAATCTTCGGGAAAACAAAATGCTTTGATTCCCGAATTCCAGAATTCTTTAGTAACGGAACCCAACTCTTTAAGAATGGATTCTGATTTCTCATTAGTTAGGGAACAGATGACTACATCGATAACTGATCCGAACGTTGATTTTGTTTTCATTTCTTCTTCTAAAACACATTTCATTATTTTCTCGAATTCAATGCTCAGACCGACACCTCCTTTGGCCGCAAAGTGTTTGTCACTATTTTTACTTAAAGTGTCAAAACTCGCAATTAATCGGTCATAACGACCGCCAACTGCTATAACGCTTCTTTGGGGCAACTTTTTGTGTTTCACTTCTCTTTCCAATTGAAAGATTATTCCCGAATAGAGTACACACGAAGAGCCGCTAATTACAAAAGCCGGTGATATTCTTACAGAGAATTTATTTAAATTACTCAACTTTTCGGCAAAATTGAGAATCAGATCTAACTCTTTGATCGCGTGTTTTGCCATTTGAAGCGCATTTTGTTGTTTCACTCCTTTCTTTCTCATATGAGTCTTAATATTAGACAATAACTTCTTAAGCGACTCCTGTTCTGAATCTATTATTTGAATAAAACTATTGATTTTCGATTCTTCAATATATTTCTCCAAAACACTTCTTTTCTGTGAAAACATTTTTAAAGCCAGAGAAGTATTAGAAGCGAAAGTGGCGTCAATTGACTCGTCAATCGACTCCTTTAAAATACTTTGCGTTACTTTAGGGGAAAAGCATTCGCCTAACAGTAGTATCACTTTGTTATGCATTTCATCGGAAATATCGCAATAATCGAGAATCGCTTTAATAAGGTTTATGTGATTGACTCGAAGTACTAGTTTGGAAGCACTCAAAGCCGGGAATTGATTCACCACATGACACAACACACTCAACACCTCTGAATCGGGTATTATATGCGTTGACACATCGGTGCTGGCCTTCGGTGTGATGATATCGAGAGCGCATTCCCATAACTCCTTCGGATGGTAACCCATAACACGTCTTTGTCGGTAAACCTTTTCGATGGAATAGCGTCTGAAGTGTAAGATATTATTGCGAGCGATATATCGAGCGAAAGGCACCCGAAGGTTGTGCGAGAGGGAGACAATGGCTCCGGTATTGTCGCTCACGTAGAAAACATCGTTCACTTGATATGTTTGAGTGGAATGTTTGGGCAGAAGAGTGGGAAGTGATAAATAGACGGCGCAATGGCTTTGCATTACTGACTCCAACACATTGTACACGTATTGAAAGACTCGCTGTTTCGTTGACAGCGAAAACAAATCATTTTTGGTCCCAAAAGATGGTCCAAAGTGTTGATCATTTACGTCAAACACGTAGTCCTCGATTTCGGACGTTTCCTTTTGAAACAACATATTTAACATATATTTATGTAGTTTTGTTCGCGTGTTCTGAACGGCACGTCTGATCACATTCTGTTCCTCCTTCTCCTCCATTTCAGGCGCCGGTAAGTAATCGGAAGCCAACAGTTCTAACGAAGTCGGACGCAATGAGTAGTCGTGTTGTAACAAACTTTTCAATATATCGATCTCTATTTGTGTCAAGTGTTGATTCGCATCAATCGGTAATTCAATCTCTTTTTTCCTTAAATTCATCACAACTTTCGTTCTCTCCATTAATGTCTGGAAGGGATACGACATCTCGAAGAAGATTACACCCAAGGAGTAGATGTCCACTTTCTGTGTGTAATATATTTTAGTAGAGTTGACATCAGAAGAGACGGCCAGTTCTGGCGCCACATAGAAAGGCGTCCCTATTTTGCCGGTGAGTCTGAAGTGATCCAATTCTTGTGTGGCGTTCAGTTGATTGACTACTGACGACGACACGGGCTTCTCATCTTTGATGAAAAATATATCTTTAGCTAAACCAAAGTCTCCGATCTTCACGTGATCGTTGACGTCGAGGAATATATTTCCTGGTTTAAGGTCTCTGTGAATCATTCCCTGTTCGTGAATGTGAACCAATCCTTCAACTATTTCTCTGAAAAGTCTTCGCTTTCTGTGCGCTTCGTTACGGAGTCCGCCGTCGATGGCATCTCTCAAAGTGTTTTTCTCACACAATTCCATCTGAATAAACATGTTTTGTCGAGGAATACGAGACCACTTGTCTTCACCTGAATTATTCTTGTTATTAATGGTTTCTGTCTTCTCATGAGATGACTTGGAATCACAACCACTTCTTTCAAATATCACGTACTGATCGTCAGATGAATTATTAGATAATTTTGGCGGTATTTGTACTAAAAAAGAAGTGCCGAATATATCTTCTTCAGCTTCAAAGTCGACGTCTTCTATGGAGGAGGAGTCAGAAGAGTCAGAATCAGATGAAGAATCGCTTGATTTTTCTTCTTTTATCTTTTGCATTGACTTTGTGTCTACTTTTAAACTCTTTTGTGTAATGTTTTCACTTGTCTTTGTGGTAGAACTCTGTTCACTGCTATCAAAGTCCAGATTGTCTTCAGACTCGATCCAAGACGTGAAATATCGGACAACATTCTCGTGATTGAGTCTCGAAAGCAAATTCACTTCACGTTTGATCTTCTCATAGAGAGAATGATTTGAGTGATTGATTTGGATTTTCTTCAATGCATAACATCTTCCGTCCAAAATGTTCTTCACTTTATAAACGTAACCAAAACCGCCTATAAATCAAACAATAGGTCGATATTAATAATTAGGTAATCATAAAATCAACTAAAAAAAATAATAATATAAATACTAACCTTTTCCTAATTCATCCAACACTTCAAACTCGTTGAGTCGTGAATACATTGACGACGAGACCAACGAATTCAATATCGCTTTGTTCTCAACATTGGTCTCATAATTGTTGGCATCTGTTTGTTCCGATCGTCCCTTAAGAATATCAGATTCCGAGTCATATTTTGAATAATTTTGCGCTGATTTTTGTGATGAAAGAAATGAATGATATAATAGTCGTTCGGCACTCCATCGGGCGTTCTCTTCACTGTCAATACATTTATTTAAAAATTGCTTCAATTCTTCAGTAAATTTCATTTTATTAATCCTATGCTTTAAATTAATAGCATTTTTATCGCTGAAATCCCAGTCATTGCTGACGGCAAACACCAAAACACCAAAATCGTAAATGTCTTTCATTTTCAAACGATTAATGTTTGTCGAAATTGTGTTTGAATTACAAGTAATCGATTCATTAAAGTTAATATCAGAAAAAATATCGTAAAATTGTTTTTCTAAATAATAACCACTGATTTTGATATCACCGGTAATGCTGTCAACGAACACATTGGTGGGCCTGAGGTCTCCGTGAGGGCTATTATTTCTGTGCAAATAGTTTACAATTTCTAAGATTTGTTTTGAATAAAATGTGATGAGAGATGTATTAAACGGATGTCCTCTCATCACATTAGACAAACTGAACAGTGAATTGGCGTTAATGTGTTCCTGAAGTAAATCGACGACAATATAATCACTTTTGACAGAGTATTGCATCGATAGGTAATGAATTAGATTCCGATCATTCAAAGACATTAATTTCGTTTTGAAAAATGTTTCCACTTTTGATATACGATCCATAATATCGTCAACACTATTGTCATCGTTAAGCCTAAGAATCCATTCGGTGATCACAAATGTCTGTCCGTTAGACAGATCTGTGGCTAAATATTCGACGGAATGCTTGAAATGGTTATGAAGAAGACATTTGCCTCTTTGAATGGTTCGCTCGAAACCGTTTACATCAAATGTAATGCAAACCAATTCGTGGTTCACATCACACCTCATCTCAGACCTCATGTCGAGAAGTGTTTCGCCGATATCTTCATGCGATTCTCTTCTGAATCTCGATTCTTCGAGTAAAGCCTTTTGCTTTCGTCTCATCTCTTCTTCCAATTGTTTTCTCTTCATTTCATCTCTTTGTCTGTTTGTCTCCAATTGTCTCTCAATCTCCGCATTCTTCTGAATCTCACGTTTGGTTTGATGTGAAATCATTTGGTCGTAAAAGCTCTGAATCGGAGGCTTATTATGCAAATGAAGACTCTGTCGGACGTGATCTGCGAACGCAAAGATCATCACTTCTCCCCTTAAACTCTTCGCCAATTGGTATAATTCATCCCTAATGTGATGGCAAACACTTGTGGCCAATCCCTTCACGTTCTTAAGGCTGATGTCTTCGGGGATAACGTTGGGATACTTTTTGCCACATTTGACGTAAAGGTCTGTTTGCACGTAAACCTCAACATTCAATTGAGACATCGATACCATTGGTTTCAGTGTTATCTGGATCTCAATCGGTGACCATTTATCACCGAAATCGCCGCCATTGGCCACCGATTGTCTCAAATCAATCAGATCTGATCCAAATATGGCCTTAAGAGCACTCAATTCATCCATTTGTCGCTCATTTGTCTCAACATTTGTTGCCATTTCTGCACACAATTTGCGAAACACTTTATTTGATTAAAACACTAATTAATAAATTAATTACTAATTAAATACTAAAACTTAAGTAATTGTTAATGAATTGAAAATAAAACCTTATAATAAATAATAAGACCATTAAATGGCAAATGTATGGCAAATGCAGTGATGTTTACAAACAAACCATAAATTAAAGGGTATTTCAGTTCAACACATGCTTTGGGAACAAAACATATTGTAATGCATTTTGTGTTCACTTTTTATAAAGTTTTTTTTGTTAGTTTCCAACACTTGTCACCATTTCTATCAAATTTTATTTTAAAACCAGATTTGAATTTTATTACACTTTTCTATTAATAAATGGCAAATGAATTCATTTGAACTCATCTCTAGATGTGTCAATTCAATTAATTCTCTCTCTCTCTCTCTCTCTCTCTCTCTTATGTTTAGGGAGTTTACCATTTGAAGAGTGGTTTTAGACTTTTATTATCCCCTCTTTTCACATGTCTTTTAATATGTCTTATAATATATAAATTTGTGACAAAACTTCTTATTACTAATTATTGTTATTGTGTTTTATTATTATTATTATGACTGCCTTTTTGTTTGGCGAGTATTTACTAGTCTTAACACGTTTTGGGCTTTCAATGTGTTGTCTCTGTCTTTAAAATTCAATTTGTTTTTCATTTCTTTCGACTATTTCTAAGAAGTTTTCATTTCAAATGACAATAAAGTGTCTTAAAGTTTTAATAACATGTTATAGATATAAATGTATACAAATATTATGATATACTGTGTCTGCGAAATACGATATGAATTCATATCTTAAACATTATATATTTTCTCATTGTTTTTCATTTAAAGGTTTTGCTTTTGTTTTCACGAGAAAAACACATTCAACTGAGAATTGCAATAATTTTTTGTATATATTTTTCACACAAATGGCATATATTCTGCTAATTATCATGTTTTTTGAGATTAGGACTTATGATAAACAAAAGGGAATTGAAAAATAATAATTAGTATTAAAAATTCATTTAACTTTAATTTCTATAAAATGCAAACATTTTTACAATAAAATAATGAAATTTTATTTGAAAAATTAATTGAGAGATAGAAATCAAACCCAAAGAATGAGTTAATTGTTTTAAATACTAGTTTTTAAGGAAAGTTTTATTATAAAATTAATCGCATATATTGTGTGAAATCTTCGCAATTAATTTTAATACAAAAAACAAAATTATTATATTATAAAATGTAAAAATTAATTTATTGCTTAAAAGTAAAATAAAAAAAGTTATTTTCAAAAACCCCTTTCAATACGTGTGTATTAAATAAGGTCTGAAAAGTCAAAAACTATTTTTCTCTCTCAATATATCTTTGTTTAAAAATAAAAAACAGAAATAAAAGTTTGAAATGAAATTTTCATTTATTTTACGCAAAAAATTTCTGCTAAAATCAGGAAAAATGTTTTTATCGTTTGTGAAAATCACTTCAAAAGTCAAAATGATTTCCACTTTTTTTGTTATTTTTGCGGATTTTGTTTTTCAAAATTAAATTATTAACTCATTTAACAAACCGATCGTTTGATTAATTAAACATAATATAAAATTTAGATAAGAGTCCAGCAAATTGATAAATATATCCATTTTTGTAAATTATTTTGTTAATTAAATTTTTCGCAAACAATTTATTCAATTAAATAAAAGTTATTTCAAATAAATTAACTTTAGATTAGATTTGAGAAAAATATTATTTATGTTCACTATATATGGGAATAGGATTAAAGGGAGGGCTAATGGGCTATACATTGGTATATAAATTACAACCGGGTGTTCACTTTATAACTGTTTACTTCATATGTATTTTACTTGTATATAAAATATATAAATAACTGGTTGTTTGACCATTGGTTTGATGGAGAGAGAGAGAGAGAGAGAGAGAGAGAGAGAGATCGCGGTATCGATTGAACTATACTTTATTTTATTTATCCAAAACTTGAGAAGAAAAAAATATTTTTAAGTGAATTTTAAAGATATTCCGCAAAAAATAAACAAATATATATTTCACGTCTCTTTTTCACCGTTTAGTTCCGCACAGAATAACCAAAGAAAACACTTTTACCACAAATACCACAACTGGAGAAACAAAATCACAAAACTAATGGATAATAAATAAATGAAAAATAAAAATAGTGGGGGTTTTCATACACCGTAAAGAAAGTTATACACAAAAAAACACAACAAAAACTTAACCAAAAAATCTTTTGACACAAACGATAGTCACGAAAATCACACCAAATGTATAGTTAATAGTAAACGAATGGATATTTCAAAAACGTTTTTTATAATACAAATAAACGTAAAAAAGCTTTCGGAACATTAAAAAGGGGCACAAAATTAAAACAAATAAATAATAAAATTGTTGTTTTCTTTGGGGAAGAGTTTTTCTCTCCATTCTCTGTGCACTTAAAATGCTATTAAGTTTTTTCAATCATTACTTTTACTTTCAGTCTCTCGTAAAATACATCTGCAAAATGTTTTATTGGCTTTTTTGTAATGTAATTAAGACATACGTTTAGTCCTTAGACATACAATTTTCAATACTGTATACAAATCCGTGTGTTTAATAAAAATCTCATTATATGGTCAGTGATTTGCTCCCAATCCTCATATGTTTTATGATTGAAAAGTCATTTATGATTTAAATTTACTCGTTTTTGGCTTTTAAACCAATCATTTGGTTGTCGCTATAGTTTACAATGTCTGCCAAAAACTTTAAAATTTATATTATGGTTATTTTATTTAATATCTTACAAATATTTCCTTAATAAATCTCTCTCTCTCTCTCTCTCTTCAGAATAAATGAATGAATGATTGTTTAACTTAATTGTAAAATTGTATACATTTAATGTGAAAATCACTCTTTGAAATAGTTTATTAAAATGTCAACAAATGTGAGCCAATCTTACATTTAAAAATCGCATTAAAATGTCAAATAAATTTCAAATAATGTACAGAAAATTGTAAATCAGGATTTTATTTCACATGTGGTCTCTCTCTCTCTCTCTCTCTCTCTCTCTCTCTCTCTCACTCACTCTCTCTTCACTCACTCACTAATCCCAATACCCTTTTGCCATAATTGAAAATTGCATACATTTTTATGCAATATTAAATGCAACACAAGATTCACATAAAGTCTAAATGTAGTGATTATTTGCAAACTGAATGTAAAGCCTTCAGTCAATAAATCAATCACAAAACTACGGGTCCTTTACTTTCGTAAAGTGTCAGCCAATATGGGAAAGGAGTTGAAGGCACCGGACTTATCGTAGAAAATCCAGGGAACCAAATGTCATTTAATACTGAGATTTATTGACGAGAGAGAGAGAGAGAGAGAGAGAGAGAGAGAGAGAGAGAGAGACGTAAGTTTTGTGTCGATAATAGCATACATAATGTGAATAGTATTGAATTTCATAGAATTTTTTATATTTGCCACACATTTCCTCATTTCCAACAGAATTTTGAATCTTATTCCTTGACTTTTATTAGATTTTCTATCATTTTTCGCTTATATTAATCATTCATCTAATGATAAATTGCATTGAAATGAAGAATTACTTTCAAGACAATAAAAATCCATACTTTTAACTATTTATGCTATGTTTTAATATGTAATTTAAATATACAAATCATCTGATTGTATATTTGTCTCCACTATTTTGTTGTAATACTGATCGCAACCAAAACCTAAAACATTTTCAAGACTACAGTTAAAACCAGGGGTTAAAGGAGAGGGGGATTACCGGATGAATACCACAAAATATACAAATGGTTTTTTTCCTGGCATTTAATGTCATTTTGATTCCTCACTCGAGTCTATATATTAAGCGCTGAAACCTTACCTGAAATGTAAAATACAGTATATTTTAAATGCACTTTAAATTCTTGTTATATCCGAGAAATCATTTAAAATAAAAGTAAAACATTTTCCCGTTTTGATGGTTCTGATAGAGTGAGTGTGAGAGAGAGAGAGAGAGAGAGAGAGAGAGAGAGAGAGAGACTGGGATTCTACAATCTGGGAGAGAAAATTGTCTGAAAATGTCATTTAATGAATAGTAAGAGAAAAATCACTTTCAAAATGATTATTATAATCATTACATGATTTCCTTAATGTTAACTAATGATAACAATCGGTAATCAAATGCAACATTTTGTGTCCCGTTTTTCTCAATAACAAAAACAACATTTCATAACTAAATCGACTATAAAAACGGTTATCTAATTATATTTCCAGTTATTTAAATTTTGTTATTAAAATATTTTTATAACTTTTATAACTTATAAAATAAAATCTCATTTGTTTTAGAAATTAGTGGTAGTTTTTGCGTTCAAACAAATAATATTTGTTACAAATACTGGTTTTACATGCCATAAATAAATCATCACATTTTCAATTACTTTACAAGATATTAATTTTTTACATTAAATAATTTTCAAGTAATAATAAAACCACATTTAATATACAGGAAAACATTATAACAATTATTATTAAAAGTTTTTGTTTCTACTGTGTTTTCAATCATACATTTCATTAACCATTAGGAGTAAGAAAATAAAACAAAATCAAAATTACAAACATGTATTTACAACAGAGAAAATCATTATAAAAATTATTTGTTATTAATTTATTTTTACAAAATAATTAATTGAATGTAATTTCCGACGACAGGGAGAAGTTGTAGACATAAATTGTTGGCTAATTATTGTGTAGAAAATGATATGTTATGTGAGAAACTAAATAAATATACGGTCAGAGATGTGGACCGGGAGGGGAGGGGTTGGCATTTCGGGATCATTAATATCTTAAATACTGAGCCTATGGTTGTTTGAAACACTGAAACAATTAATATTTTTAATCATATTTATTACTAACTATTAGTTATATTTAGATTATTGGCAATACATGTCCGAACCCTATGTTTTATGTATTTATAGATATGCAAACTTTAAACCCACAATTATTTTACCTTAATGTTGCGAAATTAATTATAAAAAATTTACTGTCACTAAACAATAATCATGTAACTTATTTTATAATGTAATTATTGTGTTATAAAAGTCACTGTCGAGTGCATTGAAAGTACACTTTTATGATTAAATAATATGAGAATTAAATCTCGGAGTTTGTAATCAGCGAAAAATAATTGTTTTAAAACAACAAATTAAAAATACATAACAAATAAAATTATTTGAAAAAACCAGAAATGAAAGTCAAGTCTCAACATAAAAGTTAAATACAACAACAAAATGACAAAAAAAATTGTTATCATTTGATTACAGACCGTATAAACGAGATAAATATTTCATCAGTAAAAAACTGATGGTAGGGTTGAGTTAATGGTTAGGGGGTATGAGTCCAGCGGACAGTCGGTTATTACCATCAAAAAAGTTTATGTAACGGATGTTCACACAAGCGATCATCGGATTTCACAATACAAATGCGGGCTTTTATTATATATTGTCATTATTATTGTATTTTTTAAATCAAAATAAATACGATAAGTGAAAAATAATACTTAAATATTCACAAAAAACAAGTTTGTAATAAAATCAGTTGTAATTGTTATACAATTTTTGCCCAAAAAGCGATTCTGCGGTCAGACAATGGTTTTTGTGGCAAAAAGTTTTTTGTGCATTTATTTCAATCGTTATTATTATTAATACTTATAAAAAATACATTAGGAAATCCTAAATATCTGTTTCATTAATTTCTACCCAAAAAATGCATACAATATTTTCAATCCACTTGTTTTGTCTTTTCCTATACTTGTTTTCCCCTATTATTTGCTAATATATTACTTGTATTTTTGTTTTGTTTTGTTTGTTAACTACAGTATTATTTGGCACTACTTTTTTCGTAACAAATCATGCGCTTAATTGTGTCAACGATTTACACAATTATATGATTTTTTATATAAATCTATACCATTTATGTCATATATCTTGTATACCATGTTATTAGTGTTTTTTGATTGCATTTTATATGTTATTTGATTACAACTAAAACAGTGTTTAGGAATTTAAACAAATTTTATAATCATTTAGAAGTTTTGAAAATTGATTTTTTTGTTTCAGATGTAATATTTCGGTCAATTATAGCTAAAAACAATTTACAATCCATTTGTTTAGTTAACTAAATATGTTTTTTTGTGTTACGATTGTATTTAATTGTAATTTGTTGTAAATTTATTAAAACTTAGAAAATTGTTTTCTATATAATAATGATAATAATTCACTTAAATTGAAAAATACTATTAAGGCTTTCAATCAATCAGTTTTTATAATTAATGATTTGAAAATTTTCCACCAAAAAAATTCAAGTCATAAATAATTGTTAACAAAAAGCCTGGAACTTATGGTTTTAGAGAAGAGAAAATCATTATATAATGTATTTTGTGTTGAATTCTTACCATCAGCTCTCTTATGAATTCTTAATCCATTAATTATATGTATTATGTATTCAACCGTACATTCAGTGGACGAGAAAATTCATTATTAAGATTATTCTTCACGTAATCTCTCTTTCACTGGAAATACACAGAAAAAAGTACTGAAAGAAAAAGTGAGACCAAAAAAATTGTTTATCATTTAAATTATAATAATGAAGAAAAAATTCAAATTGTGTTTGAAATAAATTACTGAATAATGCTATTAATGTGTTTCGTATGTGAAGAGAGTAAGGATATACGGAAAAAGCTCTCTCTCTCTCTCTCTCTCTCTCTCTCTCTCTCTCTCTAAACGCACGAAAAAATTCGCTGTTTTTTCGATTAACTATTAATGGATTTTGTGTTTTGTGAACACAATCTAATGTAAATTTACTGTAAATATTATATAAAGTATTTTCACTAAACAATAGTTTACTCATTATACAAAACTTTGACTATATTTGGAAATTAGTTTAATTTACTTTAAAAGTCTCTCTCTCTCTCTCTCTCTCTCTCTTTCTTTCGTGTAATAGAGTACAATAAAAATTTCTAAACAAACTTTTCCTTCAAAAGAGAATGAGTTAAAAGTGTAGCAAAAAATTGAAAAATCAATTCTCAGGTGAATTTCGCTGTCATTCTGTAATATCTATATCAGAGGTCTGGAAGGAAAGTAGGGTATTGTCAGTGTATTTAGTTATATAACGAGTGCACCAAAAGTATAATAAATCATTTATACCCTTAAATGACAGGACAGAGAGATGTCAATGTTTTTGTTATTTCTAAATACTATAAGGATTTGTAATCACAATTCAGATATGAATTATTTTGATGTATAGTATCGGTAGGCCCCTCCCTAGCCCTATGCTCTATGGGATTTAACATGGAATCACATAAGTCATAGACTGTACTTTAACATGGGGCTAATGTTAATCCTAGGGGCATTGTTAAGTCTATGGCAATATTGAGTCTATGGGTAATCCTAAGTCTATTGGCTAATGTTAAGTCTATGGGGTTCTTTGAGCATTACTCGAATTGTGGTTAAGCCATAGCATCGCATGTGAACCTTGTTTGTGTTCATTTGACTCCTGAGAACCAAATCTTTGTAAAACACACACACACTTGAGATGAAGGAGAGAGAGAGAGAGAGAGAAATAGCAGTAACTCTAATCACTCATTGTGTTGAGACAGATATTAAATTGTAATCCAACGAAAAAAATGATAGATTCTCTCTCCCATTGCCAGTGGTTTATATTTCGCTGTCATTCTGTAATATCTATATCAGAGGTCTGGAAGGAAAGTAGGGTATTGTCAGTGTATTTAGTTATATAACGAGTGCACCAAAAGTATAATAAATCATTTATACCCTTAAATGACAGGGCAGAGAGATGTCAATGTTTTTGTTATTTCTAAATACTATAAGGATTTCCACAATTCAGATATGAATAAAGTGCTTTATAGGATTTATCGGCCCTCCCCTCAGTCTCCCCCTCTTTATGGGATTTAACATGGAATCCCAGCTTAAGTCTATGACTATATTTTAACATGGCGCTAATGCTAATTCTATTGGCATTGTTAAGTTTATGGCAATGCTGAGTCTATGGGTAATGCTAAGTCTATGTGCTAATGTTGAATCTATGGAATTCTTTGAGCATCACCCGAATAGTGGTTAAATCATAGCATTGCATGTGAACCTTGTTTGTGTTCATTTGACTCTTGAGAACCAAATCTTTGTAAAACACATACACTTGAGTTGAAGGGAGAGAGGGAGGGAGAGAGAGAGGGAGAGAGAGAGAGCGAGATAGATAGATAGATAGATAGATAGATAGATAGATAGATAGATAGATAGAGAGAGAGAGAGAGAGACTTTTAAAGTAACAATTAAACTAATTTNTGAGAGCGATGTTGTATTTGTTGGGTATTGAATTAGAGGTAACCGTTGCGCTGAATATCACCAAATTTGGGTTGTATTGAACACTATCTCTGGTGTCGTTATATAGCTTCTTATCTTTACCCGATGGAAAATTTTGATGCAAACATTCAATGTATGTCGACGTATTACCACGGTCCTATTGTCAACAATCAACAATATACTGTATACTTAATCTTTCTCTCTCTCTCTCTCTCTCTCTCTCTCTCTCTCTATCTATCTATCTATCTATCTATCTATCTATCTATCTATCTATCTATCTCGCTCTCTCTCTCTCCCTCTCTCTCTCCCTCCCTCTCTCCCTTCAACTCAAGTGTATGTGTTTTACAAAGATTTGGTTCTCAAGAGTCAAATGAACACAAACAAGGTTCACATGCAATGCTATGATTTAACCACTATTCGGGTGATGCTCAAAGAATTCCATAGATTCAACATTAGCACATAGACTTAGCATTACCCATAGACTCAGCATTGCCATAAACTTAACAATGCCAATAGAATTAGCATTAGCGCCATGTTAAAATATAGTCATAGACTTAAGCTGGGATTCCATGTTAAATCCCATAAAGAGGGGGAGACTGAGGGGAGGGCCGATAAATCCTATAAAGCACTTTATTCATATCTGAATTGTGGAGAGAGAGAGAGAGAGAGAGAGTATTGTACAATATTCTGCTATTAATTTTGATGCCTAAAATTTTTCACTCGAGTAAAAGAGATCGACGAAAAATATATCTCTATTTAACAAATAACTTAAACCACTGGCAATGGGAGAGAGAATCTATCATTTTTTTCTTTGGATTACAATTTAATATCTGTCTCAACACAATGAGTGATTAGAGTTACTGCTCTCTCTCTCTCTCTCTCTCTCTCTCTCTCTCTCTCTCCCCTCAGATGTTTCATATGTGAAGAGAGTAAGGATATACGGAAAGCTCTCTCTCTCTCTCTCCCTCTCTCCCTCTCTCTCTCTCTAAACGCATGAAAAAATTTGCTGTTTTTTCGATTAACTATTAATGGATTTTGTGTTTTGTAAACACAATCTAATGTAAATTTACTGTAAATATTATATAAAGTATTTTCACTAAACAATAGTATATTCATTATATAAAACTTTGACTATATTTGGAAATTAGTTTAATTGTTACTTTAAAAGTCTCTCTCTCTCTCTCTCTCTCTCTCTCCCAGTTATATGTTTGTATTGTTTGTTTGTATTTCATAAGACAACTCGTG